TATTTTGCACTTGTGGAGTTATTTCTAATTGTGACAGAAAGTGATGGTCATGCCATGTATCTGTTACTGTGAATCTACTGCAACTGTATATATCTGCCTACCCAGAGACTTTGGTCTGTACTTAGAGGGACTGTGGTGTGACTTTATCTGCAGCCTCACAGATGTTAAACATAATCAGACATATTCAAGGCCCATGAATCTTTCCCATGTCAATGGGCAATTTATAGTCATCACAGAAGAAAGACCATAAATCCTAGAAGCTCACATTTAAGTCACCAGAGGAACTTAACTACATCCTTGCATACTAAGCATAATAAGAAAGCTCTTGTGAAGAAAAGGAGGAAAAAGCACAGTTCAGATAAGAAGCCTGTGACTGAAATTACAAAAGAAAAAAAAATGGCTAAGTTTCTTTTTAAGACAGTGTACAGGTGTTATTTTAGTTGAAAGTGAAAGCCATTTAGGATAAAAGTAATTTTCCTGAACATTTTGCTAGCGAGATCTGGATATCAAGTGTAAACCCAGGTGTTATTTTAGTTGAAAAGAATGCAACTCCCACGGGTTGAGATAAGAACAGTTTAGGTATAACAAAATCACTACTGCTACCACCAATGATAATAATGATAAAAGAAATAACAAGGGAAGAGAATACATCATCTCACCACCAGCCGACCGATAACTTGCCCCCCCAGCCCGACCAAGCACCGACCGATACCTCCTCCAACCCTGCAGTCTCCCAGCCCTTCCGGCTAACTCCCAGTTACCTCCTGGGCATGACGTGCTGTGGTATGGAATACATCTTTGGTCAGTTTGGGTCAGGTGTCCTGTCTCTGCTTCCTCCCGGCTTCCCCTCCTCCCTGGCAGAGCATGAGGCTCACAAAGTCCTTGGCCAAACCTAAACATCACTATCAGCTCTGTTCCCAAGCTGAAAGTCAAAACACAGCACTGCACCAGCTACCAAGAAGGGGAAAAATGACTGCTACTGCTGAACCCAGGACATCAAGTATCAGGCAAAAGGCTGCCTGAAGGGATTTTTATAGTGGAGAGAGAAAGCAGTGAAAAATTACAGGAGAAGCTCAGGGCAAATCATCAGCTCTATAATGTGGCAGAGCTTTACTGATTCCTGTAGAAGACAAAATACATAGATGCCTTCAGAACCACCAAGTAAAGCAGAAACAATAGTGCGCAGTGCAAAAGGCACCACGGGGAAGAGCATATCCAGCTTTGAAAGCTGCAGACTTAAGAGACTTGCAGCCAGCAGTGCGCTGGGAAAATGCTACAGTTTTCCTTGCCAGGAAAGCCACAGAAGCTGAAATCTCACAAGCTGAATTAACACACAACTCTATCAGCATTAGCAAGTAGCTGACATGCATAAATATATGGCTTTAAGACCTCTGTCCCTTAAGAAGTATACCACAGTATTATATGCCTTCTGCCCCTCTCAGATACATTTGCCATGACATTTCCCAACCAAAACCTGTACCAAATCTTGAATTACAGTAATTCAGAGGCAAATTTAAGCTGACTTTCATTAAAGCCTTCTTTGAAAGATTTCACAGTACTACATCCACTATCACTGAGCATCAGCAGGTACCTTAGGTATAGACCCCTTACAGACAATAGATGATTCAATTTACTTTTTGAAGTAAAAAACTCTTCTTCAGCAGTGTTGAATGAGTGGTAGGTGGGCTGTCAGCAAACTGCCTAAATGGCACAATAATAAAATAAGCCAGTGAAAAGACAACAAGGGTGAGGTGGCTGTGAAGGAATGAAGGCATCTGCAAGCCAGCCATCCTTAGCTGGCCTTATACCCAATGGAGAGAAACAGGCACCTCCTAGGGCATGAGCCATCTCATACCAGCACAGCCAGCCAAAGTAGGTCAGGTGAATCACACCTTCAAAGAGCTTTTCTGTGTCATTGACTACACATGCCACTGGTTTAGATGTACCTGTCTAACAAGCCTGGTCATTAACAGTTAGGTTGAATAAATAACTTCTGAAAAATCAGCAATAATGGTATTGTCTATTTGCACACAGAAGATACAGACGGGAAACAGTTGTAGCATCCACCTGGAGCAGTAAGTCTCTTACGGTCACACCATCACAAGAAAGGTTTTAATTAAATATATATTTTTCTTTTATCAGCAAATAAGTCATCAATTCATAAGATGTCATGGACTTTGGGCCCAATCCTGTAGAATATTCTCAGGGATTAGCAAGAATTTAAGGTGCATGAAGAATCAAGGTTTTCAGTGATTAAAAAAAAAAGAATAAAAAAAAAAAAATCTTAGCAGTGAAACAAAACAAATACCATTCTGCTTTTTACCTGAACTCCCATAATATCAGGCTCACATGCCAAAGTAAAAGACTTGGTGCGTGCAGAGGATAACTGAAATACCGACACATTGAGTTTAGGAGACTTAGTAAAAGGACATTTGCTTAAACATTGGTGCAGGTATGTCCAACCTCCTTTCTGTGACATTTTGAATGCAGAAGCTGCCTACCCATTTTGACTCTGTTAATATTGTTTTCCCCATTTCCAGTAGTGAACAAACATTTTATAAAGTCTGCAATTGCAGGACTAGTTTTAAGAGATCTGCAGTCCAGACACTGAAAAAAAAACATTGTCCGGGGGGGAAATGTGTATGGAATAGAATGTTTTAAAATGGTATGGAAATGTAAATATTAAGGGTCTGATTTATGGCAGCAGAGGAGCTTCTGACATTTTCTAACTTTTAATACATTAACATTCAAAAGGCAATCATGTTCTTTAACACGGGGGAAATGTGTAACTTCCAAAGCAAAGTGGGAAAACCCCCAACCTAGAATCCCGCTGCTGTGCAAGCATTAACAATCATCAGGGCACTGAAATATCTGCTGCTTAAGCAAGGGAACTAACTGGTACCAGTAACAAGTCCTCATATTCTCTGCAAACTGCACCAGAGATGCCTATACTTTCCATGTAGGTTTCAGAGATATTTACTGATAGTAGATTTTCCAGTTTTATTCAACACTGTGGAAGAAAGCACATATAAAGAGCACCTCATTGCCCATTTGATCCTTCTTCTCCCCAAAGGGCATGCTCCCAAATAAGGACTTTTTCTGTTCTTAACCCATCGTGGCTTCCAATCTCTGTGGATTGGATTTGGCTTGGCTACAGTTAATTTACTTCACAGTACCTGGTATGGTACTGCTCTGGATCTGTGCTGGAAACAGTGTTGATAATTCAGGGATGTTTTAGTTACTGCTGAGCCAAGGCCTTTTCTCACCTGCCATTGTGCAGGCTGGGGGTGCACAATGAATTGGGAAGGAACACAGCTGCGACAGCTGACCCCAGCTGACAAAAGGGATATCCCAGACCATGTCATGTCATCTTCAGCAAAGAAACTGGGGGTGGTGGAGTTTGCCAGGGCAGTCCTGCCTGGGATTGGCATTGGTCAGCTGCTGGTAAGCAGCCGGGCTTTTTGTCATCATTTGTTTTTCTTGTGTTTGTTTCTAGTTTTCTTTTTTTTTCTCTTTACTTATTAAACTGTCTTTGCCTCAACCCACAGATTTTCTCACTTTCACCCTTTTGATTCTCTCCCCCATCCCCCTGGAAGGGAACTGAGCAAGCAGCTCCGTGGTGTTCAGCTGCCTACTGCAGCTAAACCACGATGCCCAGTCCCATTTTCCTTGACTGTACCAGTCCCATTCTTGGCTAAAATTATTCACCCTACTTCTCCAGGCTCCTTGTGCTAGTGCCAACCCTTTGGCCGGCAATTTCACTTGCTCACCGTTCCCTGTTAACCGCACACCTCCCCACCGCCCCGTCCGTGCTCCCAGCACAGCTGCGGTCGGGGACCCAACGCCCGACCCACCGCCGCTCTCCGTAAGCCGCAGCCTCCGCCATTTTGCTGCAGGGAGGCGGTGGGAGTCCCTGGGCGCCTCCCGGAGCAGCGGGACGGTGAGGGCCGGGCCTCAGCCCCGTCGCCGCCGGGCACTCACTTCTTCCGCTTCTCTCGGCCCAGCTCCAGCGCCAAGCCGTCCCGCTCTGCCGCACGGCGGCCCCTGCTTTCCGCCATGCCGCCGCCGTTGCGCGGGGTGACGGCCGCTGAGCGCCCGGCAGAGACCTGAGGGAGGGGCGTGACCTGCCCTGCCGCCGCCGCCGCGGTGTGCCCGGGGCCGGGATGGGCCACCCCAGCCTCCCCGGCCCCTGTGGCTCTCCCGTAGCCCAGGGAAAGCGGAGAGGGGTGCTGGGGGCCAGGCAGCCGGTATGGCCCTCACCTCCCCAGCCAAGATGTGCGCTGTGTCCTTCAGTCTGCCCGAGTTGTGCTGGTACCACAACAGCAGCAGGGTCACTAATCCAGGAGGATCTAGTCCCTTACGTTGTATGGGGGTAGAACATACGGATGGAGAGTGAGAAGAAGTTATTTTAATTTCACTTGTCTGATATATATTAGAGCAGGAGGTGATTTTTGACAGTCTCAAGTTATAACTGATGGTATCATCTAATCAGTGAATTATGACTTGAGGTGTGGTTTGAGTTCAAAATTGTCTGAAATACTTTAATCAAGAAACAATTTTAGAAAAGTGCTCCACTATAACTGCATTTAAATTTAGCTGCTCGTTTTGCCTTCATTATTTACTGAATGCTGCTTTTTGAGATACCTATTGGAAACAATTTCCATACGAAACCAGTAACTTAAGTAATGACTTGGACCTAGGTTAGCATTCATAACTACCTGGGTGTACTGCATCTTAGCAGCAAAGGTACTATCAGTAGCCGTATTTCGTGTTACCAGCTTTTGTGAAGAACTGCTTCAAGATCAACTTAAACCAGCATGCTAATTCTCAGGTGGAGAGCACATGCAGAGAATGTAGAGCGAGCCCTGGAATCACCAGGAAGTCAGAAGAGGAGAAAGCACAGGGCTGTACCCTGGCCACAGTGTAATCTCTCTGCCTCAGGAGACTTCTTTGACCTCCCTCCAGGATACTTCCAGGTCCCCACACTGAACTCCAGGATTACTAGGTGAGCTCTCAGGAGCTAGGTCGCAGTGCACTTACAAGGATGAGCCCAAACCATGCTGGTTGGGCGGGTGCAGGACTGTCCTGGGTTCAGGTTTAAGCCATGAATTTGGTTGAAGCAACTCCAGGGGAGACTTGAGGTCGATCCCTCGGCTAATGGAGTCAGGGATACAAAAAAACTGTCGTGGTTTAAAACCAGGCAGAGGGCTCGTTCACTCACTCCCCCCCTTCTTTTCCTCCCCCTACTCCTGGAGGGACTGAGAGGAGAATCAAAAAGAATGCAACTCCCACGGGTTGAGATAAGAACAGTTTAGTAACTAAGGTATAACACAAATCACTACTGCTACCACCAATGATAACAATGATAAAGGAAATAACAAGGGAAGAGAATACATCACCTCACCACCAGCTGACCGATAACTCACCCCCCACCCAGCCCAACCAAGCTCCGACCGGTACCTCCTCCAACCCCGCAGTCTCCCAGCCCTTCCGGCTAACTCCCAGTTACCTCCTAGGCATGATGTGCTGTGGTATGGAATACCTCTCTGGCTAGCTTGGGTCAGGTGTCCTGTCTCTGCTTCCTCCCGGCTTCCCCTCCTCCCTGGCAGAGCATGAGGCTTACAAAGTCCTTGGCCAAACCAAAACATCGCTATCAGTTCTGTTCCCAGGCCGAAAGTCAAAACACAGCACTGCACCAGCTACCAAGAAGGAGAAACATGACTGCTACTGCTGAACCCAGGACAAGGACAGTGGGTGTAACTGTGTGCTCAGGAACTGCAGTGACAGTAGAGCAAAAGTGTCTTGTGGACTGAGGTCTTGTGAGTAGGCAAAACCTTGAACCATCAACATTTTTAACAAGCATGGCAGTAACAGTGAAAATTGCAACACATGAGATTTTTCTTCCATTTCTTTATTGCAAATAAAGTAGTTAAAATTAGATACATGGATACCTATAAATGTACTGTCATTGTTTTAAGGCATTAATGCTCTGAGATTAAAATTTTTACTAAGAAAAGTTAGGAAACTTGGTCATGACACAGAGTAGTTTGAAAACAGAATTTTATACTTAAATTCATATCTTCAGATTACACGAAGGCAATAAACAGCTGGAGTTGTTTAAAAGCAAAGTACACCAGTTGCTGAGGACAGACATTTGGATTATGACATATATCAGCTTTTACAAAGAGCTAGTATTCTTGTAGTATCAGTAACAAGGGTATGATGGCTGGCTCTGTGGACAAGGGGCAGCCGGTGGATATTGTAGATTTTGACTGTACCCACGGAGTCTCCCGTAGTACCTTTATAGCCACATTGGCAAGTTGTAGATTGGGTAACTGGGAAATAAGGTGGCTGGAAAACTAACTGGGCCATCAGGCTTAAAGTACAGTGATCAGCAGTATGACTGCTTGACTCTGGGATCAATACCCGAGACAATACCTTTAACTCTGTATTAACATCCTGGAAGACTAAGCACATTCTCAGCAAGTTTGCCAAAGATGATGAACTGAGGGGAGCAGTCATAATGCAGGAAGGCATTCAGAGCCTGGAGAAACAGGCTGCTGAAAGGAACCTAATGAAACTCAATAAAAAGCAAATGCAGTCTAACATTTAGGATGGGAAAAGCCTTGAATCAGTACAGGCTGGTGGCAGTAACTAGAATGCAACTTCATAGGGAAAGACACGTGTCCCTGGTGAACAAGGTGACCATGAGCCAGCAACACATCTTGCAGTAGACAAGACCAATGGCCTCCTGGGCTGCATTAGCAAAAGCACAGACAAGAGGTTGAGGGAGGTGGTTCTTCTTCCCTTCAGCACTTGTGGGACCACATGCTGCAGTGCTTAAGATTTAGGGCTGCCACCCATGTCCTGTGTTCAGCCTGGAGAAAGCATATGGAGATCTTAGTGCTGTTGACAACTATGTAAGAGGAGGGCGTCTAGGAGATGAAGCAGCCAGACTTGTATCCAATGTGCAGTACGGAAGGATAAGCAGCACCACATCTGACCACATACAAGAATTTTTGCCCCATTGTAAGGGAGAAATATTTACCTTTACCAGAATCAAAATTGGCAAAGGTTTCCCAGAGAGGCTGTGAAGTCCCCATCCGTGGAGATAATCAAAACAGTTCTGTACTGTGCTCCAGCTGGACCTCTTTTGAGAAGGATGATGGATTACAGACCTCTGTAGCTCCCTTACAACCTGCATTATTCTATGGTGAGCTGGTCAGCATGTTTTACTGGAAGGTAATTTTACCAATTCTTTTTAAAGGATTACAGATTTAGTTTGTCAGGGAATATTAAGAAATAGGCTATTCCAAGATGGTTTTAAATCAGAATTAAACTAAGCAACCAACCTGCCAACCTTGGAATCTAGAGGAATCCATTCAAATGCAGGGGTTTAAACTCGGGGTAAAAACAGTGGTTTATACCCATGGAACGATGAAGGTGCAAGAGAGAGCAATAGCTTAGAATGACTTAGAGGTCATCAGAAGTAATATTCTCAAGACGAGATCAGAGAGCACTATTCTAGCACAAGACTTCAAATAAATTCATTTGGAAATAGGAATGCATTAGGAAATCAGGTAGTGGTTCACTCAATAAACAGGCTAGTAAGACTGCTTCTAGGACTGCCATACATCAAGTGATGTTCAGTGTTCAAAGAAGGAACAAAACCAAGCTGGCAACAGAAAACAACCTAAGATGTAAGGCTTAAAGAGCTTAGTGCCTATAGTGTATAAAGAGAACAGGTAAGGTAGGAAGTGTGTGAAGGGTGTTGTTTATGGTAGAGGAAATGGGGAGAAGCCTATGGATTTGCTGCCCAGGGCCCAAGCAGTAACAGCTGAAGCAGGGTAAATTGTGAGTTATACTACTTTGAGAGGGGGAAATTAATTAAATTTTGGAACAATGTAAAAGGAAATATAATGGATGTATCACATTAAAAATTGTAAAATATGGTAGGCATTAGTGGAAAAAAAAGCAACCAACTTTAATCTACTTTGAAACAAATATGAAAGACTGAGTACACGTGAAGAGAATAGCAGGTTGAACAGGACAATAATGCTTGCGTGATAGGGATGGCATTTAAACCTTTTTCCTAAGTTTGCTACAACTTGGTCTCTTGAAGACTTGAACACTTCAATCTTAACTGTTGCTTTAATACAACTTGTGGTTCTGATGGTTTACAGATGAAACTAAAGGTATGAGTATATGCAAAACCAAAATATGAGCAAGATGCAAATACATACATTCCTGTTGTAAATGCAGCCCATAAGAACAAAAATGCTTCTGCTAGCATGGAACCTTTAGTAGTCTTAAACTGGTTACACTTGCTGGCAAGTGACAGTCTGTAGTAACAGAAATTCTTGCAGTATGCTTTTGACGGGCATTTTTAATTTGAAGTATTTTAAGTTCTAACTGATGAGCCTGTTTCTATTGTACACATACCCTAATACTATTCTTTTATTACTTCAGAAGTCCTAGTCTTTCCACTCACTGATCCATACAGTAGCTTCAAGTCATAAAAAAGCCAAGCACAGATTAACCAACTTTGACATCATCTTTATTTCCATAAATCATTACACTTCAAGTGGTTAGATCCTTTTTTTCACATTTCTCACCCTAAGTACACACCTACAGTAGCCACGACAAAATGTGCATCTATTACCATTCTAACATCATTAGTTATTTATTTTTTCCAATGTGATGCAAATACCATTTGCTAACAACAAATTATAGTTATTTTCTCCATTCACATGAAATGGAGATAAGTTTTAAAGTGATAAGAGTTCTGCTTGCTACAGGTTCAGCCAATATTAGAATATGTAGCAGCTTTGAAACTCAACAGTGAACTGTTAAATAAACAGTGTGAAAGCATTTCAATGGTTCTACAAATGGAGTTATTTCACACTGCACTAGGAACAGGATAACCTACACAGTCATGTCTATTCTCATCCACACACCTCTCCATTAAGAGGGCTTGTCTTCATACCCTTTAAAGACAAACCTCGTGCAACTATGAATTTAACGGAATAAAGATGCTGTTAGAACTACTTCTTGAAGCAAATACATATTGTCTGTGAATGCTCCATCCCTGGCAGTGTTCAAAGCCAGGCTGGACAGGGCCTTGAGAAACCTGGTCTAGTGGGAAGTGTCCCTGCCCATGGCAGGGGGGTTGGAACTAAATTATCTTAAGGTCCTTTCTAACCCAAACAGTCTAAGGTTCTGTGATTCTGTATCTGCCATTAGGAGGCCATAGTATATACTCTGCATCTTTCTGAATTGGCTGAAAAATACAGAATGCATAGAAGTTCCTAGTGTCCTCTATAGAATAATAATGGAATTTTCTGTTTTCACAGAAGAATAATTTACGCAAAAATATACTCATCCTTTACATAAAAATCTCAAAAAAATATTTGTATATTCCTTATGGAGCCAACTAAAGAATACATTTGTCTACAGTTGTAAATACCCTCTTTTACTAGAGATGCTTCATATCTTTGGTTTGCTTATATGCTGGATGAAAAAAAGAAAAAAAAAGTTTTAAAGGGAATAAATACCTAGTTACCTGAGGCTCATCTTTCACTTCTTCTAACATGAACTTTGGATAAGATTAGCTGTTTGATAGCCAAAAAAGGAAATTATCTACAAAACAATGAAACACAAAGCTTATTTTAGCAGTGCATATTAAATAAGACAAGGCTGGTTTTGTAAAACTAACTCTTCAGAACAGTTAAAAAATAAAACTAGAAATCCTACTTGTTCCGCAATTATTAATCCTATTTGTTTCTGTATCACTACCTTCCTTACAAATATAAAGGATTCCAAAAATATTCACAACAGTATTTCTATATTAATCTAGTTCATTTTATATTTTGAAAAAGTGCTTAAAGAGGCAAGTTATTAACTGCAAACTCATTATCTGTCCCATTGTCTAAAGCCCTGATTCAGTTGTTTAAAACCCTTGTTCAATACCCAACAAGGAATTAAGACAATTTTCATTTTTCCTTGCATAAACACCCTTCCTACTATTAAATTTTCATATCAAATTAAGTAACAGTTGATTGAAAAGTACAGCGTGATTTGTGTTAAATTGCAGATTAGCAATGTAGTGACTTCTAAATAGGAAGTTCCATCTCTAATGTAAGGCTTTGAGAACTATTTCAATGCTTTCATTTTTTATCCTTCTTCTTATTATCCAATACTTTATATTCATCCAACACAGCATGTCCGGTTTCCTTTGCAGTTCTCTTTACAACAGCCTTGATACCAATATTGTCAATGTTAAATGCTGTCACACCAACATTGATTGCAGAATTCATAGCATTGTCTGTAGCATGGCCAGCATCATCTCCATACCTAAAGAAAGACAGCAGTTTTGTAGATTGATATACTTACTATTTTAATCTTCACTGGAATTTGAAAACAAAAATTTAAGCATTGCCAAGAACAAATAATAATCACACAGCCTGAATGTATAAAGAATTAGAAATAACCAAGCCATTTGAGTAAGGGCTGCTCCTCTATCAGATGGATTACCAATATGATTCTTCACTTTTTCCTCATAAAACCTTCCAGCCTTTCTCCTTCCTTCCTCTCTAGTTTTGAAAAACAAAATGCTTATCTGCATAACCATAAGGGGGGAAGTTGTTTGCAATACCCCCCCCCAAGTACTTTTCCACCTAAGTTCTTAGGTAAATATCCCTGTAAGTCCTATCCCCTGTAAGTCCTCACAACTAGGCCCACAGCTGCTAAACCTTCTCAGTCTGTACCATGGGTGGCAACACTGAGGAGAAGGGAGGGCAAATACTGTCCTGCCTTCTCACTTGTTACAGAAAAAAGGGACTGGAATCACCTCAGGCATATTTTTTCCTCAGCTGGTACCACCACTGCCATCATAGTGCTTGGTTAGTACTTGTCCTGTGTCACCTTCACCTGTTGTACATAGCATAATATGATGCTATGTCTGGTGTAACAGCAACACGTTGGCATGCTAGTTCCAATTTGTAACTGTTTTTTTTTTTCTGTTCTAAGAAAAAAGTTGGGTAAATGTAGATACTGCAGTTGTTCAAATTGTCATAAAAACCCCACCAAGGTAGTAGCATGGTTCTTTGGCAAAAATATTACTTCCAAAGCTACATTTTCCCCCAGTTCTGATCAACACGCACATATGATGAGGATCTCTTTATAATTCCATCCACAAAGGTTGTGCAGTTAAGTTTTAGCTGATTTTGTTGTTGATTTAGAGACATTGTGGTGATGCTTTGTTAGCTTTGTGGAATTTAACTCATTCATTGGAGTACTTTGAGGGGCAGATATCTTTGTCACCAAAACAAAAGCCAGCTTCCAAAAGACAGAGTATTTTTATATATATATATACACACACACACACATATATATATTTTAAAGATCACATCTGAAGTATTTTCAATTGTAATTAACTGCAACATTTAATTACTTATTGTTTTTCACTCTTAGTGGCTGTTGGCTGTTGATCTTCGTATTTCCTATCTTTATATCTAGAACAAAAACATTAATGTGAATTTATGCGAAACAAGTACCAGTACAATACCTCCCAGAATTCCTACTGAACACAAATGTTAGCAATAAGGCACCACTGACTAGAACTTCATTATTTAGCCTTCTATTTTAACACATCACAACACAACCCTGAATGCCAATCCATTTAATGCTATATGCTCATGTTTACATTGTTACCTTCTCCTAGTACTCTATGCACTTCCAGCAATCCTTTTGAACATCTCTCGCTACACTTACCACCGATGTCACTTAACCTACATGTTCATTGGCTCTTCACTTTCAACTATACCTACTGCACTTTTTTTGAGGAGCGCATTTTGCAGTCATTTCAATATATTCCTGTATTCTTGACTGCATTTTTCAGTACAGGCACTCCTTTTTGGTCTATCATTTTACCAACATCATCTTAATCTAAAATGTTACTACCCTCTCTCCCCATTATCTTTTTCTAAGAACATCTGTATTTTGCAAGTTGAGACTATCTCATTATTGCTATTAATGCCTTAGATTTCCTTACACAATTTTTTTTGTACCTACTTCCTTTAGCCAGACCTGCCAAGAGATGAAGTTCTTCCATTTCTCTTAAATTTAACTAAGTTTACATAAATTCAGGATCAGAGCTGAGAGGTTTGAATCAGTAACTTTTTTCATAATGACATTATATTGTAGCACAAAGACACATAACTGAACATTATTTATAGCATAGCCTGAAGTTATAATGCTTCTAGAAGAGAGCTTAAAAAAACACAATCATTTACTCATTTCATATTTTTACTTACAGGAGATGCTCATTACTGTGCACTTAGCAGCTTATCATGTGCTGCATAATTAGAGCAAAGCTGGTACTTCAGTCACCTTCCCTGCAATTTGTAAGCTTTTTTTTCTTTTGTCAGTAATCAAACACAATGTTCTACTCTGTAGAACATAAAAACAATAAAAACATAACTTACTTGTATTTGACAGTTTTTACAGTCTCAGTTGAAACGCTTTTAGCAATGCACTTCGCTGCACTTTCTAAACCTTGCCACACTGTTGAAAACCCTGTAAAAATGATCAGCTTATTTGAGTCCACAGCATTGAAAAGTATGCAATTAAAAAATCATATGGGATTTCTATTACCTTGAACTCCACTTGCTGCTACCACCAGAGCACCATCCAATGTGGATTTGCCGTCTTTATCTTTCTTGAGGGACTCTGGAACTAATTTGCTGCCATGCTTCTTTACGTGCGGAGCCAGCTCCTTCCCAACACAGCTTGCTATGGAACAGACTCCCTCGACTACCACAAAATAATAGTATGCAGATTATTTAGTACAAACATAGAACATCTTCCTTTAAAGGTTCTTACATCTAATTAGAAGCACACTGAAGTGCTCAGTGTTGCTTCTATTTAATCTGCTTATTTCAATGACAGGCTTCAATCCATGCTTAAGTACCCAATTGATACAGAAGCAATCTTATTTTTCAGATTCTCTTAATTTCAGATTCAGCTCCAATTCCTAAGAAACAAGTATGGCTAAACAGCACTTCAAAGGACACACTAGTCTCACACTCAAATTTCAAGAAACCATTTCCATTGTTTTGTTATCCCCAATCCCTATCACAGATAGGGAACATGCTGTTTCTTCTCTGCCCTGACTTCTGGAAATGCCTTTCTTACAATCTCTCCAGCTCTTCAGAGTAGTTTTATAACATCCAGCACAATTTTCTTTTAAACTTTAAGACTGTACAGTATATTCTTTTAGGAAAGAAAAGGATGCCTCAAGGCCAAATAATAAACATTAGTCCTAAAACATGTCACTCGCAGGAGATAACAAGGCAAAAACTACTGATCTCTGGATTTCATTGGATCAGTCCCTTCTCTAGTTTATTGGCTAGAGAAACCAGATCTCATTTTACAGAATATTTATTCAGACAAAAATATAATATACTATGAGATGCAAATTTTTACCTAAGAATTGGCTGACTTTCACAGCTCCTCCAGTAGCCTGTTTTGCTACATGAAGTCCCTTTGCTACAGTTGGGTTGACTTCCAGAGGTTTTTCTTCTGGTTGGATGTGTTCTCGCAGTTTAGAAGCTCCTTTATGTATAGCTTTACCAGTATATTCTGCGCCTTTTATTAGGCCCCAGCTTACCCAAGATGCACCTTCAAGGCAAAAATTGATTTTCTTACACTATACAACTTCACAGACTACAATTCCTACAGCTTTCCCTCCTCTACCTCTGCAACACTGGAAACATTCCTGAAACACAGCCCGCAATTATAATCTTCCCTGAACAGGCCACCATGAATTCCTGCAGCTGTTTTATTCTCCTACATGGCCCACTTTTTTTAAGTTCACTTTACTGAAGTTTAATACAGCCATCCCTCATCCAGACCTCAGCTTAATACAGATACTCTGTTTTTGACAGATATCCAAGCCGCAGCTGGGTCAGACGTGATAGAACTGCATATCTCGCTGCTGTTACCTTCTGAAAACACACAACCCAACTCTCTAGTCCTCCTAGCGGATTCATCTTTATTACAATCAGTGAATATTCATTAGTATTTCCAGAGTTTCTCAAATTAAAAAAAAACACAACAGTTTATCTGCAGATACATGCCTGGTTTAATATAACTGCTTGTACAGGAGTAAAATTGTTCTGTCTCAGTGGTTTGAGTAACATTTAAATCCTAGTATTTACTCAAATAAGAAGCCTACCTCATTTGCAATAAGCAAGACTGTTGGCAACGGATTTAAATTCTGCACTGCTTTCATAAAGCTCAAAGTATACATTAGATGATCACAAACGGAACTGATGAACAACTACTTCTGACCACTCAGCTTTTACCAGCCCACATGGATTTAGGTGAAAATACTGTTAAAATGTTACTCACAGCAGTTCATATTCAACACAATCCCCTTATTACAACAGTACCTGACAAGATTCCATGGGCAACTTTCTCACTCCATTCTGGCAATTCTTTCTGATTTTCTGCTCCTTCAGGTTGTGGTTCAATCCGTACAGTCTGAGACAAGTTAATTGCATCACCAGAGGTATCTGAAGGCTAAAAAGGGAAAGTAAACACCTGAGAATCTAATTTGCAACATTATCATCAGGATTTCTGTTTTAGATCATACAAATCCGTTATCAAATCATGTTAATGTTGTGCATTCCTCGGGTCAGTGCCCAGAAACTCAAGGAAAATTTGTGATGCAACTACTTTTGCACAGATAAGCTGTGCATTCAAAAAAGCTTATCAGAAAGTTCAGCATTTTCTGTATGCTTTCTTCATCCAGTAACAAAAAGATGCGCTTGCCAACACTGCCAAAAGATGAGACTTGTCCTTTATCGTTTTTATCTTCTCAGAGGGAAGTCAACTCTGTTATTCAATATGGGAACTTAAGTCTTTGGTCACAGAATACAGCTGCATTAAAAGAATGCAGCTGTTCTGGTTGTTTTGCTCCTCATCCTTTCCTCAAAATGTAAAAATAAAGGAGATTATTCATCATATGTGCTGTTGATGTTTTTGCAGACTGGCACAGCCAAGGAACACATTAAGCTGTGCATGATACTGCTCCAAATTTAAAGTTGGATAGATGGGTTCTGTATAGTTTCATGTCAAACACTGGAGTTTCTGGAGTAGGTGTTAATCATTCAAACATACAAACCACCACCACAGTCTGGTTAGTGTTTCTAAAAAGTGTAACATCCCTTTAGACAGTTCACAAAGAATGTATAATTAAACTTTAATTACAGAAAGCAAAAAAAAATTAGTAATTTAGGTTTTTGTTGAGATTCTATTTTAGGATTATTCTAATGTAAAAGTAAAAATGTCAGCAATTGAAACACTGCTGGTTAATGATGGACAGAAAGAAAAAATATTTTTGTTTAGTCTAGAAGAGTCTGTATTCTTAGATGGAAACTATAAGCAGAATAGAGTACACAATATAGAATAGTATTTGATATCACATGGAATTCTTAAGATTTCCCACAAATATTTACTGGACTAAAAGCAGAGTATCACACAAAGATGACTGTTGCAGCAAAAGAAAATAAACCCAACATTAACAGAAAAGAGTAGATTAAGACTTAGAAGGTTGCACCCAGAAGGTTAACAATCTATTGCTGACATGTACTGTATCATCAGTTACTGCTTGACAGCAGTGTGAAATTTCATGTTCAAGAAACGTCTTTAGCCTGTGATCAAAATCCTTTGGAGGCTGGGCAGGAGAAGAAAAACAACAACAACAACAACAACAACAAAAAAAAAACAAAACAAAAAAAAAAAAAAAAAACAACAAAACAAAAAACCCCAAAACTATGTTCCAGATATAACTTAGCTACACCACAGCCTGGTGTAGAAAAACAGTTAACAAGACTTCTAAGAACTATCCTAAGGAGCAGAAATGGATTCTCTGGTAAGACAGGTGACTCAGGACTATAATTACATTAAATATAGTTGTTACTTAGACCCTCATGAGTACTATGTAAAATAGACATATTAAATGGCCATCAGACCAGGCGTTGAAATATTTGTGCTATATCACAGGTTTTAAGACTCCAGAAATCTGCTGATCTGCAAAATGTGGTAGCCTGCAGTAACTGAATCAGCTCTTAACAGAAAAACAAACTAACAAAAATAAAAAAAAAACAAACCAACCAACCAACCAAACAAAAAAAAAACAATCAAAAAACCCCAAGCCCTACAGGGCACAGCATGCACTGCAGCTGTCTATCGAGTCTGAAAGCTCAACAGCTCCAACATGTATAAAAAAGCCATGTTTTTTTGTTCAGTGACAATTTTACTAATAAAATTTGGAATCACTGTCCTAGAATTTACCTGGACTTTGTGGCCAGACATCTGTTTAAATTTATCTTCAAAATGCACTCTCTCAGTTGCTGGGAGCTCTGAAGATAACCCTACTCTCTCATGGGATCCTGGCACCTGTGACATTGTATCAGGGAACATTAATAAAAACATGGAATTTTAGGACAAGGAACTAATGAGATACCAAATTTGAACTACTTCTAAGCAGGAAAACCAACAGATTTTACCCATTAATTCCTGCACTGAAGCATCACATTATTCTGTACTACTTCTCCATTTTAAGTAAAAACTAGGGGCCTCTTTTGCTAGTGAAATTCCCTGCTGAACTCAACAGGATTTATACCATAGCAGAACTCTGCCCACATGGCATGCTGCAAACTGGTCCTGCATCATCACTGCATTCAAATCTTGGTGATTCAACAAGATTCTATCTTTCATGAGAAGATACAATCTTCTTATGAGCTTTTAAGTAGTCACTGATTACTGTTCTTCCTGACATGGTGCACCAGTGCTCTTATAGTAAGATATTTCATTTGTTTCTAGTCACTTTCTCTTACTCTGTATTTGTTAAGACTATGGGTTTTTTTCTATTTTTTTTAATTAGTCAGTATCTTACTGCAATAAGGCACTAGATTTATCTGTTCTGAGATCCCATTTGAAGGCAGGTTTTTGAGGTACACACTATTTTCACAGATTGTCTCTGAAGCACCTTAACATTTTTGAACTGTAAACATTTCGGCACAATATTCCAAGAACAGTATCATGAAAACTACACAACCATGTTTTCTTCTGAACACAAAATTCCATTTGGGTTCTATGTTACCTTTTGGAAAAAAATAGAGAAAATATAAAAAATGGTCTCCATTTCCTCTCTGGGCTTACTATTTAGTATTTAAAACATTCTTTCCTCCTATCTCACAAGACCTACAGTTTCATTACTAGGTTGCTTAATCTTGGCTACTTTATCTGTTTCTCTCTGGTGAGCTTACCAAGCAAGAAACAGAACTTCGCAGTTTTACACAACTAACTGTAAATGGGAGAATTTATTGATCATTTACACCTCTCTTTATTAGCTTAAAATAGCCCAGAAATGTACCTGGATTCGAAGGTCAGACATCTGTTTTAAGAGATCCTCAAACAGCTCTCTGTCAGCTGCTGGAAGTTCTGAAGACAGCACTAGTCCCACGTAGGATCCCGGTATCTGGGACATTGTGTCAGGGAACATGTAGACTCCAGTATTGCAGCACAGAACAGGAGACTGGTTACGCATTAGAGGATATAACCAGTCACAGACCTAGAAACAAGAAGTACATAAAGGAATTAACGGATGCTTTAAAAAAGAAAGCCAGGTAGGACATACTGATAAGCACCATAAACTTGATCTTCTGTTTAGTACGAAAAATAAAATAGCTGTATGCAATCAAGAAAAAAAAAGCCTATCACTATGGAAATATTCTTGATTTGCTCTGACAGTCTAATGTAGAGAAAATACTAATTTTCACAGGACTATAATTTGGGCTAGTAGCCTCTTAAATAAGGTCTAGTGATAAGGCCCAGGTACAGAAGCAGATGAAAAGCACTGCCAAACAAGTCAGGATTCACAGGGCCTGTAATTTCCTGCAGATTCAGGACAGGTTTATATGATAGGATAAAGAAGACATGGCTTTCACTGAGCGATTGTTGAAGACTGCTAACACAGGTGGAGGTGAAACAGGAGATCCCAAGCCAGGAAGAAGTTTTTGTTTGTTCCTCTAAGTTTCCCCTTCACTGATGAGACTTTCAGCAGCCAGTCTTAGCAACAACAAGAAGATCCAAAGTCAGAAACCAGACCAGAAACACAATGTATGTTACAGAATATGCTTACATGAAGCAAGCATGGACTGTAAAAATGCAAATAATGCACCTTCTTTATTTGCAGTTCAGAGTCTGGATTAATATGGCCCTCAAATTTCTAATTATCAGTTGTCCTAACTGCAATAACTTCTCACTAGTTGAGAGTTAAGTGGGTAGTGCACCACCCTGTTTTACACTGACATGTTACACAGGCAAATCAACATGTCTTCTCTAAATGAGGAAAGGGAAGTTAATTTTATGAAAAGTTAAGTACGCTCCTTTAGAAAACAGAATTCATCAAAACAGTCAGAACTTGACATCCTTGGAAAGACACAATTTTTGCAGAAAAAGTCATAAAAATGTGAATTTGCATAAAACTTTTTTCCAACATCCTACCACACAGAGCAAGAACTTAAAGATGATTGCCTTTTAAAATTTTGTAACAGCTCTTGAAATTTTATTAAAGGACAAAACTATTTTCCTGTTACCTGAAGAAATGCAGGTGGACGATTCTGGGCCGTCTCGCTATCCGTATCCAAGAACTTCACAATGCGCAGATATCCAGGATATGAAGGAGCACTAACCTGCCCATCAGGAGTCACGAAGAATATCTGTACCCCTTGAGGAATCAAGATCAGCTCATCTGCATCCACTCCCAGGTTTTCAAGGGGAGGTGGCTGAGTACACTTGCTGTAGTAGTCCTCACTTACAGAAGAAAACTCCCCAGAGTCTGTGCCATAGGACACAGTAAAATGGCCATTGGTAGCTTGAGGAGTATAGGCAGGAGGTGCTTCATTTGGCAGACAAAGAGGTTTTGCAGATGGACTCATAGCTGGAATTTGCCCTGGGCTCACAGCTGCAACACTTCCATCTGCTGCAGGTGGCTGACTTGGTACAAGTAGAGAATTAGGGGCAGGGGGTCTTTCTGGCTTTTCTTTGGAAGGAACAGACGGGTACAACCTGGGCACCCCATCAGGGGCATCCATCACAGCAGGACTCGCTTGTACAGGTGGGGTGTTTTGTTCTAGAATGCCAAGTCGAATGTGAACGTTTTGCAGGGTCTCCCTCATCTTCTGTTGCATTTGCCTAGCAGACTCCCACTGGGACCCTATGCATGCAGGGCCCTGTGATGGAATGCTAATTCCTCGGAGCAAGTGGTCAAGCCCTTGCTTATAATAAGTTCTTGCCTCTTCCTTCTGACCCAGTTCATCTGTATTCAGTCCTTTATTAATAAAAAGAAAGGCTTTCCTGTACTCTTCATTAATAGCTTTAATATTTGCATCTTCTTGCATAATGGGATCCTGCAGCTGTTCCATTACTGTAAACTGTATAAAAATTATTAAAAATATTTATAAAGCCAAACAATATTTACCTTAGAATAAAATGCTTTCTAATTAGTTTCTAGTGATGACCATACTGCATGTATTAGCAGAAAGCTAACTAGCTGCTTGGTACAGCGTCTGATATGTTACGGTTATCGCCTAATAACCTTCAGATTTAGAATACGTGATTTCAAGACAGCAAGAAACCTATAACTATCATATCTAGTTACATCAGACATGTATTTCTTAAAAGTTAAACATCAGAAGAATATGGACATGCCCAAAATGAAATTTTCCATCTTAAAAAATTAAGATCAGTAGCAAATACAGGACTAAAAAAAAGTTTAAGAATTTACTTTTGATGATTTTTTAAAAAAATCTTCAAGGTATTAAAAAATTTCAGTTAACATTTTGCCAATTCAAATAAAGGCTGAACTTAAAAAAATCAGTACATATTTATTTAAATATTTTAAGGGAAAGCACTCAACAGACTTAAACAAATCTTGGTAAACATCAACACACAGGACTGGGAAGAAATACTCTGAACAGTTAAAGCTGTGCTTTACAAAATAAAACCAGGGCATTACTTATTTCCTTTACAGGGTTTATAAAGTGAGAAAGACAACTGGTGTTCTCCCTTCCTTGCATTCCAGGTGACAAAAACTTGGAAGCACCAATATGTGCAGGTTGCAGGTTCTATGAATGTATTCCTCAGACTGCCTCATGTGTATTTCAATAACTGAAGAGCAGAAAAGAATCCAACAGGTTTATGTGTATATGTTTTAATTGAACGTGTATCTTCTGTCCTGGCCAAATGCAGTAAATACAAATCATTCTTGGACAAAGATAGTGTTTACAAAACACAATGCAAAAAATTCCAGTGAAATTTTTTTTGCTGACAGTGTTGAGAGGCATTGTCAATTCAGAAAAATCAGGTTATTATACTAGGAAATAATGGTTGTGGACAACAAAAATAGGGTACTATATAAAAATGAAAGAGCATGTGTTTTCAAGAAAAACAATGATTCTCTGCTGTAAACTGGATGGAATAAAGGAGGAAAATCTAGATAAAATCACAATGATAGCAAGACACAAAAAAAATGGGGTAAGTAAAAATCAAAGTTCAAAAAAAAATACTTCTATTACACATACAGAAGTATTAATGCCACTGTACAAAGCATTGATGAGATATCAGACAATGATGAGCCACATTCTATCAAGTTGCACAAGAACAAGAAGAGGTGTGCAGAAGTTACTGATGTTTTCTGCCGAATCAAGTACCTTTTCCTAGAGAAAGTTAAGTTTGGCTTATTAAGCCAAAGACTTAGCAACTGCATTAGTCTCTTTAATTAAGGAGGTGATCCTGCCCCTCTACTCTGCTCTTGTGAGACCTCACCTGGAGTATTGTGTGCCGTTCTGGTGTCCTCAACATAAAAAGGACATGGAACTGTTGGAACAAGTCCAGAGGAGGGCCACGAGGATGATCAGGGGACTGGAGCACCTCTCCCTATGCAGATAGGCTGAGAAAGTTGGGGCTGTTCAGCCTGGAGAAGAGACGGCTGCGTGGACACCTCATAGCAGCCTTCCAGTATCTGAAGGGGGCCTATAGGGATGCTGGGGAGGGACTCTTTGTTAGGGACCATAGTGACAGGACAAGGGGTAATGGGTTAAAACTTAAACGGGAAGTTTAGATTGGATATAAGGAAGGAATTCTTTCCTGTAAGGGTGGTGAGGCACTGGAATGGGTTGCCCAGGGAAATTGTGAATGCTCCATCCCTGGCGGTGTTCAAGGCCAGGTTGGACAGAGCCTTGGGTGGCATGGTTTAGTGTGAGGTGTCCCTGCCCATGGCAGGGGGATTGGAACTAGATGATCTTAAGGTCCTTTCCAACCCTAACTATTCTATGATTCTATGATTCTTTAAATATACTGGATAAAAAGAAGAAAGTAAATTAGGAAAGAAGAATTATTAAGATGCAGACTTCTAATAAATTCTGAAGTAGCATCTACATTTATTTACTATCTCTTCTTTTTTTAGTCTAATTTATCAATAAAGTAAAAAAATGAATATATATAATCTAGAAAATTAAATATATACACTCCAACATATATATATATATAATTCTATACTCCAACAAAAACAGAGAAATGCAGGTCATGAAAAGATTTTTAAACAGGCAAAGATGGAATGTCATGTTCTAGTCCCACATCCTTTATGATCTAAGTGCACATACCACTTACGAGACTGATGCATCTGCAGTCACATGACAGATGTACCATGTAATCTGGAGCACATTTCTGTTTTTATGATGCATAAAATCCAATTTCATGCAACAGACAAAATACACGACTTCAGTCCATAGCTCATAATACAACAATGATGGCTTGAGAAGGCTGCCCATGTGGAGCATACCAGCAGTGACTCAAGCCATAAGGCTCATTGCCCACTGCTCTATCCTCACATAGAGGAAAAAGGAATTTTGGGCTGAAGGAGATTTTTTTGGTTGACTGCAGTCATTTTCTGCCAACAGGCTCAGCATCTCTGATTTAAGCTGAGAAACAATACTGCCAACCATATGCTGCATCAAAAGAAGCATAACCAGCAGGTCGAGGGAAGTGATTCTCTCTTCTCTCTAGGCTGTTCTTGTGAGACCCCACCTGCAGTGCTGCATATGGCTCTGGGGACCCCAACACAAAAGGGACATGGACCTGCTTGAGTAAGTCCAGAGGAGGTCACAAAGATGATGAGAGGGCTGAAGTATCTATCATATAGAGACAGGCTGAGAGAGTTGGGTTTGTTCAGCCTGGCGGACCTAAGGCTCCAGGGAGACCTTTTAACAGTCTTCCAATACCTAAAAAAAGCCTACAAGAAATCTGGAGAGAGACTTTTTACAAGGGCATGTAGGATAGAACAAAAGGGAATGGTTTAAAACTGAAAGAGGGCAGATTTTGATTAAATGCAAGAAAGAAATTCTTCATTATGACAGTGGTGAGACACTGGAACAGGCTGTCCAGAGAAGCTGTGGCTGCCCCATCCCTGTCAGTGTTCAAGGTCAGGCTGGATGGGGCTTGGAGCAACCTGGTCTAATGGAAGCTGTCCCTGCCCATGGCAGGGGGTTGGAACTAGATGAGTTTTAAGGTCCCTTCTAACCCAAATCATTCTATGATTCTATAAAGAATAAGTGCACATTTAATATCCCTCAAGGACACCTAGTTTAGGAGTTACAAGCATGCTTCTAACCAGTACAAAATAAAACAATTACCTTGAAAGTAACTGAAAAGAAATCTAACAAGTTTGTGGATAGAGCTAGATCCTTACATGAAAGATTAAACTTAACCATGTCACATATCTTATCATCTACACATTAACCATTTGAAATATGAACAAATTATTTGCTAGCAAAAAACCCCAGGGACTGCCAAACCACATCATCTTCTGTCAATACTTGTATTTACTAATGAAAAATCCATTTTTCCTTTGAGAGGGGTATAAAGGTGAAAAACAATTTAACAGTATTTAACATTAACTTAATAGTAAAGAATTCCAATTTAAAAATTAGTGTAGAAACAGAAAATGTTTAAAAGATTGAGATAGACAAGTTTTACCTAACACCACATTGTACTTCTTTATGAGCAAAATCTAGTGTTTTGACATTTTTAGTACTCGTGAAAAATCCCTTCTTAAGATACAGAATTAATTTGTGAGAACACAACTGCAGTACCTTAGTCTACTTTGCCCCATGATTTTGATTTGTTTTTGTTAGAAAAGGCTGAGGCAAAGATATTCCAGATTCTAAATAATTCTTTTGCTAGTAATTGTTATACAAGAAGAGACATCAAGTAAAAGCCTCAAGTCATAGCTACATTTCAACTTGAGCCAATTAATTTACTATTCACTGTATGCTTGTCACATTGTTACCATGACTGTTCTTGCTAAAGCTCAGTCTTTATTAATGCTAAAAAAGGTCTGTAAGAAAAAGGAGCTGTCAGCACTATCAGCATATACACGGCAGTAGTGCACGGCTGTGCATGGCAGAGATACAAAAGCAGACTCAGCAGTTCAAAAGAGTGGGCATGCTGCAACTCATCTCCAATTGTCTGAAATATCCCAAGTTTGCAGTATGTGCACAGTACAGTTACCACCAAACCATGCCTTTGGGTAGAAAAGTGTCAGGAAATGGAGGAAGGAATTCAGAGTAAATTTTAACACAAAACTGAAAGTCAGCCTTCATGGGGGACTTCAACCACCCTGGTATCTGTTGGAGGGACAGTATGGCCCGGCACAAGCAATCCAGGAGGTTCCTTGATTGTGTGGAAGACAACTTCCTCCTACAAGTAATAGAGGAGCCGACAAGGAGAGGTGTCATGCTTGACCTCGTGCTCACCAATAGGGAAGGGCTCGTTGGAAATGTGACGCTCCAGGGAAGCCTTGGATGGAGCAATCATGAGATGGTTGAGCTCAAGATTCTCAGGACAGTGAGAAGAGCATGCAGCAAGCTCACTGCGCTGGGCTTCAAGAGAGCAGACTTTGGCCTCTTAAGGAACCTCCTTAGTAAGGTTCCATGGGATATAACCCTAGAGGGCAGGGGGGCCCAAAACTGTTGGCTGATATTCAAGGATCACCTACTGCAAGCTCAGGAGTGTTGCATCCCAAGTAGAAGAAGTGCAGCAGGAGGGCCAGGAGACCTCCTTGGGTGGATAAGGAGCTGCTGAGGAAAATTCAAAGGAAAAAAGAGGCTTATAAAAGGTGGAATCAAGAACAGGCGGCCTGCGAAGAATACAGGGATGTTGTCCGGGAAGCTAGGGACCAGGTTAGGAAAGCTAAGGCCCAGTTAGAATTAAACTTGGCTATGGATGTGAAAGGTAACAGGAAGGGATTCTATATGTACGTTGCAAATAAAAGACAGACCAGGGACAATGTGGGCCCTCTCCGGAAGCTACAAGGAGAACTGGCTACCCTGGATTTGGAGAGGGCTGAGGTTCTCAATGACTTCTTTGCCTCAGTCTTCACTGGCAAATGCTCTGACCACACCACCCAAGTCTTGGAAGGCAGATGCAGGGACTGTGAGAATGAAGACCTTGGGCCCACTGTAGGAGAGGATCTGGTTCGAGACCATCTTAAGAAACTGAACATGCACAAGTCCATGGGACCTAATGAAATCCATCCGCAGATCCTGAAGGAGCTGGCAAATGAAGTTACTAAGCCACTGTCCATCATATTTGAAGAATCATGGCAGTCAGGTGAAGTTCCCGACGACTGAAAAAGGGAAATATAACCCCATTTTCAAGAAGGGGAAAATGGATGACCCAGGGAATTACAGACCAGTCAGTCTCACCTCCATGCCTGGCAAAATCTTGGAGCAGATTCTCGTGGAAGGCATGCTAAGGCACATGAAAAACAACAAGGTGCTTGGTGACAGCCAACATGGCTTCACCAAGGGGAAATCCTGCCTGACCAATTTGGTGGCCTTCTATGATGGGGCTACAGAACTGATGGACAGGGGTAGAGCAGCTGATGTCATCTACCTGGACTTGTGCAAAGCATCTGACACTTTCCCACACGACATCCTTGTCTCTAAATTGGAGAGACATCAATTTGACAGGTAGACCACTTGGTGGATAAAGAACTGGCTGGATGGCCTCACACAAAGAGTTGTGGTCAATGGCTCAATATCCAGCTGGAGACCAGTAACGAGTGGTGTCCCTCAGGGACTGGTGTTGGGACCGGTCTTGTTCAACATCTTTGTCAGTGACATGGACAGTGGGATTGAGTGCGCCCTCAGCAAGTTTGCTGATGGCACCAAGCTGTGTGGTTCGGTTGATACACTGGAGAGAAGGAATGCCATCCAGAGGGACCTCGACACGCTTGTGAGGTGGGCTGATGCCAACCTCATGAAGTTTAACCATGCCAAGTGCAAGGTCCTACACCCGGGTTGGAGCAATCCCAGGCACAGCTACAGGGTGGGCAGAGAAGAGATTCAGAGCAGCCCTGTGGGAAAGGACTTGGGGGTGCTGCTCGATGAGAAAATGAACATGAGCTGGCTTCAGTGTGCACTTGCAGCCCAGAAAGCCAACTGTATTTTGGGCTGCATCAAAAGAAGCGTGACCAGCAGGTCAAAGGAGGTGATCCTGCCCCTCTACTCTGCTCTTGTGAGACCTCACCTGGAGTACTGTGTGCAGTTCTGGTGTCCTCAACATATAAAGGACATGGAAGTGTTGGAAAAGTCCAGAGGAGGG